TTCTCCTTTCCCTTTTCCTTTTCCTTTCCTTTCTTTTCTTTTCTTTTCCCTTCCCTTCCTTCTCTTCTGTCTCCTTCCTTCCCTACCTTTCCTTCCTTCCTTCCTTTCCTTCCTTCCTTCCTTCCTTCCTTCCTTTATTTTTTTTTACATTTGCAACCCTTATGTAGATTTCTTAATAAAAACTGTACAAAAAGGACAGTAAACCTGTGATATGTATTTAAAAAGTAGTTTTTTTCCTCTTTGATATTCGTTCATGCATTTATTTATATTCTATACCCATAATAGTTTACTGATAACCGGAGTATTATGAACAAATATAGAACATTATTATGATTTATTCTAGTTGCACACCAAGATTCATGGCAGTGTGCAATTATACCGATAAATAACCATACCATTGAAGCATTGCCTTTTGGGAAAATCCTAGATTTATTTATTTATTTATATATATATATATTGAGCAGAAGATACTGTGACCTTTGCCATTCTCTTCTTTTACCATCAATAAGAATTTCCTTAAGTCTTCTTTGTTAAAAACTATCAAAGTAGCTGCATCGGCATATTTTAAGTTTTGAGTGGTGCGGTGGCATGAAGGTAGAGACCTCTCACCTCGCAATCAAGAGGCTGTGAGTTCGATCCTAGGTAGAGGCAGATATTTCTCTCTCTGGGCTCAGTGAGAATATATCTGCTGAACAAAAAACTCTGCATTGGCGACAGGAAGGGCATCCGGCCAGTAAACACTCAGCTCCATTCAGTTACCCAGAACCCCCCCCCCCCCAAACAAAGGATTATGGAGTCATTAAATGAAGAGGTTGATACAGGTAGTTTGTTTTCCCCTTCATTCATTTCCATTTAGGGATAGTTCAAAGTTACAACAGCATTGGAAAAAATTACTTGTGACTGTTTATCACATTTAATGACCGTTGCGGCATCCACATGCTCATGTGATCAGAATTTGGACACTTGGCAACTGACTCATATTTATGGACAGTGGCCAGGTACACTTAACGACCGTATTACTAACTTAGCAACTGCAGTGAATCACTTAAGAACTGGTTCAAGTAGGGCCATAAAACGGGACAAAACTCACTTAACGACACAAATTCTGGGTTCAATTGTCATCGTAAATTGAGGATTATCAATAATGCTGAGAAAATAGAAATTCAGATGACTCCCTAATCGTAGTCGTAGTTAATACTTATAGATCCTTTTAAGTAGAAACAAGACGACAGCACAGATGCTGGGACACTTATACTTAGTGTTGTCAGCGGAAGATATTTCTGTTGTGCACTTACCGTATTTTTCGGAGTATAAGATGCTCCAAAGTATAAGACACATCTACCGTAGCTTTTGGGGAGGAAAACAAGAGAGAGAGAAATCTGTCTCTGCCTCCCAGCAATTTTCCTCCTTGCAGCAAACAGCAAACAGTACAGAAGATATACACTGTTCGTGGTGTTACATTTCAGACTATACTTGTACAGATGTTGTTAAAATTGATGTGGCTTTCTGGAAGTATACATTATTCTCTGCTATTTAAAAGAAAATAAGTACAATAGCACTGGGTCTCTTCAGATCAAGCATTTATTTTAAAAAAAGCTTCTTCATTTT